TGGGAGGCCTATTTACCTTCTGAAGATGTGGTTGGAGCCCTAGGCCCTCGGGTTTGGTCGATCTGATCAGGTATGTTTTGGTTGTTGGTCGACGTTCCTGCTGACCGCGCGGATACTGTATCAAGGAGTTGCGCTCAATTAATATGTCCACGGTCCAGGTTAACAGACTTGTAATGTATAACATATCGATACCCAGAACATCCGTTTGGACATGTTTGGACTGATTTTACCCCCAACTGGGAGTCACCATCCAACACAGTTCGGTGTAAAGAGAGGAGTCGTTTCTCCTGGACCCTTTTAGTTCAAACCGATGCAATCACATGAAAAACCTGTCGTCTCGTCGTCTTTCGTTGCGTCGTTCGTCTTTCTTTCAGAGGCGACTCTGGCAGCTGGTGGGCGGATGCCGCCACCCAGTCCCATCTTACAGCATCTCAAGGACTCCGAGGCCAGAGAAAGTGGAGAGCGGGAGAGCGGATTAGGCGGGTGGGTGGGTTCAGCGTGGATGGATGGCACTGAGGCGGGGTGACTGGTGAGTCTCTGGGTTCTCGGATGAAGCATGGGATTGGAGTGAACTCTGGAAAGTCAAAGCCAAGAGGGATCGGAGGGATCATACATTGGTTTAAGTTGGTTTATGTTGATTAGTGTTGTTGTTCTTATCTTTTTGTGGGAGGCGTGCGGCCATGTATGGCCCTGGTGTCTCTTTGATGTTCTCGGATGACAACCTTGGCCAATTTAAGCCAATATACGTGTTGTTGTTTGTTTCAATCCCCTGCCGGGTGTCATCGCTTTCTGGTCAGTTCATGTTTCGTTGATCAACAGCTGGTGGTGGGAATGGTGCGCACCTGGCGAAAAAGAATGCCCAGCCGACCGATCCAGACGAGTGGCCAGGCTGGTTTGAGCCAGACAGAGGCGTGGCGCTTTGAGGGTGTTGTGGGAATCGAGGCCTTGTGGTTGATGTGCAAAAGCATGAATCACATCCAGAATCTGTTCCACCCTCCAGATTTGATGGCCAGTTTTTGCAGAGAGGTGGTCGGAAAACGCTAGCTTCTTTTGGGGCGGGGGCCTAATGCACCTGTGTTGTGCTCGGGTTGTTTGAGTAAGCAGAGTGGATTTGCATGGACTTGCAGTGATTCTACCAACAGAACAGGAGGGTGAACAGCCCAGGGCGTGTTAAGTTGGGTGGGTGTTTGCCTTGCCACTTGACCCACACATACCCACACCCTAAGTTGCTAAAAATGGTATATATCCCTACAGGTCCCTACAGGTCAAAGACTTCATTTTAGTGGACTCGATCATACAGACAACACTACTCTTACGCAGGTTCTCAGAACCAGGGGACTGGACCTGGGTCCAGTCCTGGTGGGGATGGATGCGGATGCGAAGAAAGGAGTGTGGGAGGCCGCGGTCTGCTCCCTCCTGGGCCAAGCTCTATAGGTCTGACCGGTCTGACCCAAGTAGTGCTTGGGTATCCAGGTGAGGCGGAGACACTGTTATTGGCGCCAGCCAGTCGGGCCCCGTCGTACCGAAGCTGAGAAGGTATGTGGATCCTGGTATGACCAACACCAGGTCATACAGAGCAGTCCGCTCCTGACCTGTACCAATTTTAGGGGATTTGTCCTCAGACTGCGATCAACGGCATCCGATCAAGGTCCCACCGGGTTGAACTGTTTGACTTGCGCTGTGTTTCGCCGTTCGGTGTGTTCACTGGATCCCGAATTCCACATCACACGGTGAGCTGTGCACTCTTTGGCCTGGGGTGGTGCTTCCAGCTTTGGTTGTCCAACGATGCTCCGGAGATGAAAATCATCCCGCGGACGATATGTTGTGTTGCCAACCACCAAGTCACCAACAGAGGTTGAAGGACCCAGTTTTATTTGTGGACTATCCCATAGGTACAACTAGCTAGCCCAGTATGATCCGGTCCTATCTCAGGTCACAAAAGACCTTTCTTGGCAGTTAGTCGAAGCTTCGGCTGGTGGATTTGGGCCACCCGGCCTTCCGACCCCTGGCAAGCCACACCGCAAGCCTCAGGTGCCCAGACAGGTGCGGAGTCAGACGCCGCAGGCCAGGCGATGGATGGGGGTGGATGCATCACCCCCCGCATCAGTCTTGGAGAGTATGTACTTCCCGAGAATGGTCGAATATTCCTTCCTGGGACATCCAGTTCGGATGGTCGGCCCGTATCGGGTCCTATTCATTTTGTGTGTTTTCAGGTTCGAGTTTGAACCTCTTTCCAATGACTTCTCGGTGGCCATGACTTGAAAATGCACCTCCTCAGTCCAAGGCAACTCGCGGACGTCCGCAGCGGACGCTTCATCTCGGTCCGGTCAGGCTCCACCGCCCACGGAGTGGGTCCAAGCGCCGCCTGCCGTCCAAGCGCAGGTGGGAAGAGGTCCGTGTGGTGTTCCGATGTTCTGAAGTGGGCAGACCAGTTCCTGGGCCGCCCAAAAAACGCGTGATATCCCTTACTTCCAGCGAGTAAAAACAAAGAACGTGCTCCCCCCCCCATTGAAACTCGGATGTAGTATTTTTTGGATAGGGGATCACCAAAATGGTGGATATCCTATAATTATGGACACCATTCAGGAACCTGGGTTTCGGAGCTAGGGCAAAGAAGCTTTTGGCCACACAACCCCAAAAAAAGTTGACAGGTTCGCTCCGTCAGCAGGCCGGCAGTGATATCCTCTAAGCCTCCCATTCAGTATAATTAACCAACATAATGTATTGAATATGTAATTATACCCAGACACTCCATGTATGCCATATATGCCTACATTGACCATTGACCCCCAAAACCACCCCAATGTAGGTAAATTTACCAGTCCCATGGAGTGTCTGGGATATATATCATTAATCGATCGAATGGAGCAAGACGACGTCAACCGGCCGAGCCAAACAGGCAACCAGCCAGGGCTCGAGCTTGGCAAATCCCAGGTTTGACCATGAACTTCGGTAAGAAAAAATTGATCTTGATATAGTTTGGGAGGCCTGCAGTGAAAGGAGTCGTATCACGCAACTTCACCCAAAATCCCCGTGCGCATTTCTGGAGCATCCCAAATGATGACTTTCCAACACACATTAACAAACTTTGGCCTGATCATGAGGAGGGGTTGCTGAAGAAGTTGTGACAGTTGATGGAAGCTCGAAGGATAAGCGAGTAACAAACGGGTTCGATTTCCACGCGCCGCGTGTTGATGTGTTTGTAATTTTTTCCATTTCAAAAACGCGACATGAGACATTGTCATTAATCATCGCCGTCATGGCACATAACATGGCACGATTTCCATGAAATGGCACCTCACCTGTTTTGGAGAGGTGGAATGGAGGAGATTTGAGATTTGAGTCAGGACTTTTGCGAGGCCAGGCCTGGTCACACCTGGTCAGCCTCCGTCTGAAGACACCTTCTATCCAACGATGGATCCTGAGATACTTGGAGCCTTTTGAAGGAAAAACACGCCAACGCATTCCAAAATACGTGGGACATGTGCACATGTGATGATGCTTCAAGTTAGGGCCTGGTTCCATGGCTGCTTCCATGTTGACCACTTTGGGTTTAGTAAAAAAACACGACGCTCCTGCCGAGACCCCGCACTGGCCCGCACTCAGTCCATCTTCGCTCCCTCCGCAGCGCTCAGGGCGGCTTGGTGCGTCGCCGGGACGAGTTGGGTCAACTCCTGCAGGTTGGCGCCGTTGGGGTGACCGAAGGTTGGTTCACGCGCCGTGGATGGCCATCGGATGGATGGCCATCATCCCACCACAACGCTTACTTGTTGCTTTGTTTTTGTGCTTTGAGTATGACACAGTAACATAACAAAACCATTTTGAGAGATGCAGGTTTGTTTTGGTTTATGGAGATGGTGACAGCAGCAAATGGGACTCGTTCATACGAGGTGTGCCCCAATGTTAGAAATCGATCATTATTTTCTTCGATGGTTCTTCTCATGGCCAAAAACAGATACCTAGGGCCTGACCTGTTCGTGACCTCTTTGGAGGCCCTGTGTGTGACGGGTCTGTCTGTGAGTGACCACCGCCTCCTGGGATATCAAATTCGGTCACGAACAGGTCAGGATCCTGGTCGGTTCGATCCCTAGTTCCGTCGGGGCCTTGGGGCTTGGCGGGTTCTGCGGCGTTTTCTGGAGCTTTGTCGCTAGTTCCCAGAGGCTGTCCACAGGCCCCTGAGCTGCCGTAGATTGTTCGCAGTACAGTATTGTTCTCTATGATGTGGTGGTGGTTTGAAGTGTTTAACCTTGATACCCAGGAATCCGATGATAAATCCAAATCCAATCAACAATTGGATAGTCCATTCGATCGCTCCTGTCGCAGCTGTCTCTTCGCTCCAGGCCCAAATGCCACGCGGCTTGGGAGCCACTCGAAGCGGCTTGGGAGGTCCGGTGTGGGCGAAGAAAGATCCACTTTCCAGCTTCTTCAGTACGTGACCTGTTGAAGGTTCCTTTTCGTGACCCAAGTCCAGGAGGCTTGTTTGTGACCGAAACAACCAGGTTTTCAAGTTCGGTCACGAACTGAAGAACCAGGGGGACAGAAGAGTTCGGTCTAAGGGGATGAGGACAGGACCTTTGATCCAGAGCGGGAGGTTGACCTGGTGGATCCGTCGGCCATCCGAGTTGGGCGTCGGTGGCGAATCGACTGGACAGGTCGGGCGTGGGCCGCATCCCTCACCCAAGCCGGTTCACCATGGACCATCGAACTATGGACGATCTCCCAAAACGCCGGCTGTAAGGGCCCCGTAAGGGAAATCAGCCTGTGATTTTCAGGACCCGCGGCTTTCACGAATGTTAGCCCCTTCCCACTGGTTTGAGTGGACCCGGTCCGAAGGGTTTGGACGATTTTTGGAAAGGCTACCACTTCCATATATCCGATAAAAACATATCGCAGTGGGCCAGTGGGTTGAAGAATTGTGTCAATTTTAAGTCTTTTGTTTTTACTCTGTTGGTTTTTGTGGGTGCCCTGACGGTGACCTGTAGTATGGACTGGGGCGCAGGAACCCCTCTCAGCTAAGACACCTATTGGAAGCTGAAGGATAATAACAGTACAAGGACCCTTCAACAGGCTGTTTGGAGACTCCAACAGGTGGTCTTTGGGCATTTGTTGTCACCAGGGATAAGACAGGGCAAATTGGATTTACAGTAAAAGTAAATTGGTAGCTGCGAGCGGCACGGGAAGCAACACATGTTAGAACCAACCAGGCTCCCACTTGCTTGTTGGATCTTTGGCGCACTTGTGCACGAGGTTGCCACCTACTGTATTCTATCCTGCCACTGATTTTTGAAGCACTCTACTTTACATCTATTTGTTTTGGTGGTCAAGCATCTCACATTCGGCTTTTGTGGCCCTTACGGTTCTTTGAGTCACTGAACATCATGGTCTCTCACTGGCCTCCTACTTGAGACGTCCTGTTTTCTTGTTATTTCTAGCTCTCTCCAGCCAACAAAAGAGATCACATCCAGAGTGCGCAGAGTGCGCGCCCATAGCCTTTCAGCGCACACAGTCCTGGAGCCGGGGCGGTTCGTGTCCCTAGGGATCCAGTCGTACCTTCTGAGAAGGTACATAAGGTACGACAGGACCCTCCAAATCCTATAGGGTGTACTTGGAACCCTCCATAACCAACCCCTCCAACCCCTCCAAACCCATCCAAACCCTGTGTCCGAGAAGGGTACGCCAGTAAGCGCCCTGCGGCACTCAGGTGATTCTGGGCGTGGGCCGGGGCGACTTCGCCTTGAAGCTCTTGCGGGATTGGTCCTCCGCGCATGGCCTGTGGGGGGACCCAGCGAGGGAGTCCAGATGGCTGGGACCGGACCGACCAGACCAGACTCAAAAGGGAAGATACGACATCAACGGCACGTGTTCTCTGACCGGACAGTGCCCCAAAACACCCAAAAACACATAAAAACACCCACAGTTTGTCCAAGGGGGCTAGCTCGGAAGATGGGTTGAGGTGACGCGACCTGTGCCATCGACCATATATGAATGTTCGCGTTCAGGTTGCTCATGTGTGGAAGAGAGTCGGCTGACTCAGGATCCAGCGGGGTACGACGATGACGGGGGGGGTCGAGAACATTTTTTTTTCAGTTAGATATGTATATATATATATACAGAAGTGGGTGATGTTGGGAAGAGTGGGCAGGAATGTTGGACCTGTAGATTGTGGCTGATGTATGCTTATGTAAGCGCTGATGTATCATATTACAATCTATTGGATTTGTGACCTGGGATCTGTGTATTTGTGTGACCTGGTCAGACGGTCAATTCTCCCAACTGAACGGGCGACACAATCCACATGAACTCGTTGGAGGACTTATTTCATCTGTCGGACGTTGAGGACGGGATGTCTTCTTTTGCGGGTGCCCAGCCCCAATGTTTGCAGGTACTTGGTGGATCCATTTATCCACCAGTGGAGAGGCTACGAGGACTTTGCCTACTTGCCAGTTGAGTTTGTTTCGGCTATACGGCTACACCTCCTATTACATCCATTAAGTCCGCAAACAACAACAACAACCGCATAGAAAAGACAAACCAAAGGGTTTCTTCCCAACACAAGCACTCGAGCTGCGCGACCTTCCGGATGTTTCACAGCAGGGCCCTTGGGGAGTGCGGTGAATACAATACCAGCTGTTCAGCATGATGTTTTTGGGATCCTTGCTATGTTGTTTTTGATATCGTAAAGCGTATAGTTACTATAGTTCTTGTTGATCAATTTATAGATCATGTTTTGACCTTTTACCGGAATCCACAAGTTCTGTAATATGTTCAAACATATAAACTGGCATAGGGATGTTTGAGAAAAAAATGCATTTCTTTTCAAAGTGTATGTTCTGCACTCACATGGAGGGGCATGGAGGGGCACGTGATGGACACCCTTTGCAACTCCGGTGGCTTTAAAACCAAAAAGTCCCTGGTCATTGGTGGCCCTGGATACACAAGGACACAATCCAGACTGTTTTGACCAGGCTGATTGTTTGAAATTGTGATCGAGAGCAGAACTCACCATATATGGTTTGTTTCAAGTTGAGACTTTAAATGGTGCAGCCAAGGATGGTCAACTGGGAGTTCGTGGCCAACAAAGTAATTGTGGGTGCAGATGATTTGTCACGCAATGACTAGGATGAAACGTATTTGGTGTCTCAGCTGGATGTTCCAGGCACCTTGTCGAAGTTGGCCGTGTTGCGCACACAGCGCAAATTGTAGTTCCTTGTCACATGGATGTTTGCTGTTACCAACATTATGTTCAATGTCGCGGCCGATGAGAAGTGTTTCTTATGTAACAAACAGAGAGGATCACACCCATTTTGTTAAATGCACATTCCCTGATTGTTGCACAACTTTCACCCTAGCAAAACTTGGACCATGGAGCCTAAAGAACCAGGTGTGTTGACACATTCCATGTTCAAGTTAATTGAAACATGGTATACCCCCCATTAACTGGCCCCCCATCCGTTGCAGGATCCTGCGAACTTGCAGGACAATGAGCACCAGATGCTTTTCGAGGAGAGGTTGGATGCTTTCAGAATGTGGCCGGGAGGATGCAGACTCTGACCCCTTTGACACATTTCCATGCGAAGAACACACAGCTCAAGGATAAACTTGTTACAGTGTCATATGGCTCCGGTTGACCTCCCAGGTATCGTCGACTTATTCTGTTCATTCGACCGGTACCAGGTGTCCGCCATGTCCGCCGTAGGGTTCAGCCATGTCCCGGTGGGACCGAACCTGCGCAGGCTGGTTTCACGCCTGGTCAGCGTGACAAAGGACATCAAACCACTATCCAGGTGATAGGTCTCCTTGATTTAGTGGATGGCATTATCCAATTCGGAGGTTGACAACTTCTTTGCATTATCAAATTGTACCTGGCTATCATGGTGGCATTTTCACGGACGATGATCTGGTCACTTGTTCCCACCAAGAAAAGAAACAGCTTGCCAAGCGACAGATGGATATCAACCCCACTGACCCCACATCAAACCATACACCCTGGAAGGGCCTCCGCCTCGTTTTGGAACGCGAATTCAGCTCGTTTCGGAACGCGGATTCGGATCGTTTCGGAACGCGGGTCAAATGGTCTCTGGGAAGTGGTTTCTGGGAAGTGGTTTCTGGGAAGTGGTTTCTGGGAAGTGGTTTCTGGGAACTGGCTTCTGGGGACTGGTTTCTGGGAACCCAAGACATCCTAAAGGGAGTGAAGCCCTAAGCAAAACCAAAACAGGCCCTAAAGAAGTGAAGCCGTCCCAACATATCGTACTGATCCTACTACCTTCTGAGGATGCGGTCCAGTAACCCCAAAAACAGGGTATAGACCATCAGTCTGCCTTCGACGCGTTGCTCCCAGGACCTTCGGAATCGCCTCGAACCCTACGAAGGGCGCTATGTCTTGGCGTGGGCACCGAGCGTCGTGTCCGAGTGGTTTATGGTTTTTGAAGGTGATGGTGATATTTGTAGGGGTGTCCCATTACCTGTACGAGTCAGTAGGAAGTCGCAATTCTCTATTTTAGAGAAAGGCTTGCAACTTAACCATAATCCAGTGGGCCCAGGGAATGGGAGATAACCTTAAGGTATTTTCCCGAACTGGATGAATGAATCCTCAAGCAAGGGGGACTTGTTTTTTAGGTCCGGTTCCAAAAGCAAGTTGGTTAGGGTCGAAGATCCCTCACTAGACATGCTTACGTAGAGGCCACTTGAAAAAGAACAATCACTGAAAACTTCGTCTGATCCCCACCATGACATGTCAATCTGTTTTCACGCCATGGTGAGGACCATGTTGCCATGGTCGTGAGTTTTGCGGTCGATTTGGCCCTTGTGGTGTCTGGAGTCTTGAAGTGCAAATCTTGAATTGAGATGTCTTGAGTTGTACTCACATGTCTGACTTGATACGTGTCACTCACAAAGTCTGACTTGATAGGATCCTATTTTGGAGAATTTTGGTGTTCTTCGTGTTCTTCATCACACCATATTTTATTGATCACTCTTGATCCGACCTTACCAAGGGGGTCATGTTTGGCTGGATTTGATTATGTTCAAGTTAGTGTGCTAGTCGGACATCTCCCAAAATGAACACTCAAATGAACAAGTGACAAAACACATGGGAACCTCCGTCGGATCTCCGCAACCAGGTTTTCAGCACCCACTCAGATGGCCTCACCGACGCCCTTGGTTGGTTGATGAAATAGGAGTTGATATCCCCAGGTGAAAAACCAAGTTCGGTATATGGATGTTTGGCATCGAGCCCGGATAAGTTCCTTCTTCCCCAGCACAGACATGAATTTGATTGGAAGCACCAATGAAGGTATACGGAATATATGGCAATGGATCAAACAGTTGCACCATTTTTAAAGATTTTTAAAGCAAAAAAACATAAACCACTTCCAAAGACCCATCTTCAAGCGCAATACTTGACTAGCTTGATCCCACGACGGCCTCACTTCTTGCCACTCCACTTGCCTTCAGGTCCGGGACTTCTCCTACTCCTTCGCAGAGGTCGGGCGGAGCTGAAAGGGCGACGAACTACTCCATCGCTTCGCCGCGAAGACTCGGATTAAATCCGAAGACCAAACAGGGGGGGCTGTCCTCTGGCAGTTCCAGGCACAGTATGTTTTTGCATTGATCCCTCTTTCACTCCAATGTAGGTCGCCAGTCCCATGGAGTGTTTGGGGTAGTGCCCACACCAAGAGATTCTATGGCGGTTCTATGAAGATAACATGATGTATATGCATATCCCAACCACGCCATGTATTGCATATTTACCTATATACTCATTGACCCCGGAAACCACCCCAATCTATAAAGATAGGTAAATCTGACATACATGTAATTGTTTGGGTGTGTATATACATACATATTACAGGAAATGTTTTCTCAGTCGAGCTGAGGAAGCCTGGGCAAAAGTTCCAATCAACAAGACCCTCTTCTTAGGAAGCATTTGTGGTGATTCAAGTGCACGTCCTGTCTACAAAGAAGGCCTAGCACGTTTTTATCCATCGGAGGGGGATTGTGAGAGCCACTTTTGTTACCAGTCGCCACAGATTTAAGTGTCCAGTATACCTTTAAGGCTTTAAGGCCCATTAAATCAAGGCAAGTTTAGATGAGAAACGCCTGAATCGTGGAAGGATGTGGAGGGAATAGAATAAACTTAAGACCTGGCTGCGCCGCTCCCCATAAGCTTGATAGACTCTTCTACACTTGGAGGACGCGGCTTTGATTGAAATGGCCTGGAAAGAGTGCAAATCAAGAAAGGTCCACCCTGTTCCATCCACAAGCGCTTCCGGTTCTCCACCCATGTCCACTCCAGAAGGACTGAAGCACCTGAACAATTGCATGTTGTTTTAATCATGTGTTTGGATTTGGCCCAAACCCATGTAAATATCATGCTGCGCAGCTTGGGATTATCAGCTCGGATCTTTGAGGACTGAAGCACCCAACTTCCAGGACCTGTTCGTGACCGAACTTGAGATCCCAGTGGCTGAGGTCACTCAGAGACAGGCTTGTCAAAGGTCACTTAGAGTCTTCAAAGAGGTCCTGGTTGATCATCCATTTGTGTTTCCGCTCTCGGTCTTGGACCTGCCAGGTCTACCGTCGTGCGGACCAGACCCCGGGCGTGGCCACGTTTCGTTGGCCCCAAAAGGATGGGTGGAATGGGCTGGGAGCATCAGCCGAAGACCTTGTTTTTGTTTGGGGGGGTGGACTGGCCGAATTTGTTACGGTTCGGAACAGGTTTTGGGGTTTTTGCAACTTGAAGATGCTTTGAAGAGTTGGTTGGTTTTTGGGGCCGGATGGCCAACACAATATCATGTTTCGAAGGCTCTTCAGAGGGAGGAGGCGGATTGAGCTTGTGTTCGCAACACTGTAGCTGAAGTCAGTGATGAACGTCCAGACCATATTGCATTTGAGAAATCACAAACA